AAAAGCTTTCCAAAGTTGTACAAAAGTCAGTTCATTAAAATAAGGTGTTTGTTCATGGGCCTCTCCAAGTTTAAAATATAATGGGGCGCATGTGGATGTGTACATAAAGTTTAGGTCGTTTTTAATTGCCACTGCCCTTACAGTTTGTTTAAAAATATTTATCTGTGAATATAAGGGAAGTTCTTTGATCTCGGTCACTGAGAGGTCATATTTGCCCATCAGTTGGGCAGCGTGATGTACCCAGTTTTTAAGGGTGAATCCATTTGAGAGCTCAATCAGGCATTTTTTTTGTATTGTAGTGTTGTCCATCTGTTGAATTCTAAACCAGTAGCAGAGGATCTATTTGGCTCTCTATGCTCAACATGCGAGTTTCCAACCTGAGGGTCATGCAGTCAGCTCTTGCTTCATTGTGTGGTGCTACTGGGTGTCACAAACTTTCAGAGTCAGTTATCCCAGAGTCAGGGCAATTTAAAGATAGCATCAGCATTAACTTTTGCTTTTGTATGGAACTTCCTCATTGTGACCCTAATAAGTAACTTGTTTGCATTTTAGAATCACTCCTAGTTGGCATTTTGGTAAGTTGCAGGAATAACACAGTTGAGTGTTTCTGCGGAGAGGCAAATTTCTGTAGGTGAGACCCTAGTTAAAATGTTCATGCAATGAAGTTTAAACTTTGGACATATTCACTCCTAATTAGAGCCAAGGTCATGGTATGATGGCTGTGAGACAAGCTCAGGATCCTGGGCTGGCTCATCCCTGCTCCCTTTCTGTCCTCAGAACATCCTGTTTTGGAGCTTCCTGCTAGTGGGGAAACTGCCAATAGGCCTCTCATCTGCAAGTTCAGCCAGCAGAGCTGAGTAGAGGAACACCTCGCCCAGCCCAGCGTAAGGAGGCTTGGACTGCTCTGCCTGACAAGAGAATTAGTCACGGGACCCTGTTTTATGCACTCAAATGCAGTATTGGTTGAAAATGTGACCTGCCATATCTTAACAGAACTGTAGAAACGGAGATGAGTCAGGCTGCAGTCTGGACTCCTGACAGAAATTTCGTAAACCTGACTTGGCTTGCCAAAAAAGCTGAAGAAACCAACTTGCGTTGACTTCAGCCCCTAAAAAATGGTCCTTTGTCAAAGGAGTTGTGACTGGTTACACTTGCCAGAATCTGCTGAAAAACTCAGCTTGTTCAGATGAATATAAAAAAAAATTGCAAAATGAAGTGATCCCAAAGTTCCCTTTCCCCTTCACTTGCTAACTAAGCCAACTGTGTTGCTACATCCAGAATGGCTCGAGCAAATTAATAAAAAGGCCCAATTCATTCATTACCCTTGTTATGAAGCTGTTGCCCCAAATCTGCTCGCTCATGGCTCACTCCCACACCACATAGATAACTTTTTATTCATTCATTCATACATACATTTATTTTCATTTGTGAATTGCTTCCCATAAAACATCCTGAAGCAATGTAACAATAAAAACATAAAAATACAATTGTAGTCCAATCTATATAAAGACTTGGATAAAAACTTGTTGGAAGAGGAAGATATTCAATAGGTCCTGGAAAGATGTTCCCCCAAAAAGGATATTTAGCTAGCGTCAAACTGAGTGCTGTCCTATTTACATGTATCTGGACCCTCTCAGGCTAGGGATTTATACCCAAACAAAGATGATAGAAAAAGAAGATAATTATAAATGTAGTATTTAACAACACTGCACAGCAGCATATATATCTAGGTACAGTGTCAGGCACACATAAGAATATTCAAACATACTCACACTTCTGTCTTAAAGAAATAAGAATTCTAAACTAAAAAGGAGGGAATAGCACTAAAAACAGAGAGTGTTGCAAAGTTCACCTCTTCTAGTGCTGGCTAAAGTACTCCATATTACTCCATATATATATATATATAAAATTTTTATTAAATTTTCTCTTTTACTATTTTGAATACTTACTTAAACATCCTTAAAATATCAATATCTTCCCTTCTTCTCTTTCCATGGTTCATTCTGCATACCATATATCCCTGCATATTTTACATAAATTAAACCATTCAGTATTCCATTATTACATCCATCAAAACTTATTTACACTGTTGTATTTATCTTAATGCTGCCAACGTTTTCAAGTGTACACAATTCCCCTCCATATATTTAATAAACATTTTCCAATCTTCTCTTTACCAATACAGTATTCTTCTTCTTCTCTTATTCTATATGTTAGGTCTGCAAGCTGCGCATATTCCATCAGCTTAAGTTGCCATTCTTCTTTAGTTGGGAGCTCGCTCATTTTCCATTCTGGCTAAAGTACTCCTGACACCATGTGAGTGTAGACAATAAAAGAGCTGTGAGTGACCCAGGCATTTTGCTCAGGAGTCTATGGCCAAAGAGATTTCAGGTCTTTATTAGTAAAACAGGGTCACAGGCACAGACCCTTCGCTGAGCTTTGGGTTCGAAGTCCAGCAGCAAGTTTGAAGGTGTTCCTGGGGTGCAGAGAGAGGAAACTCAGAGGGGATCTCCAGAAAGATGGCATATAGAGACAGAAGTCATAGAGATGACACACACATAGAGCAAGGTTAAAATCTGGGCTTGCAAGGGTTTGTAGGGGATTCAAAAGTGTGTCTCAGTGAGTTGGCATGATAACCAATGAGAAGGGGGCAAAATCCAGGTAGGCGGGCTTACGCATAGGGGAAGGGTTTCAGGAGAGAAGACCCCAGTCTTAAAGGTAAGAGGTAGATTGGGACATGTCCACAACAAGGATGACTCATCCAGGATGTTTACACAGTGGACCTGAATGGATCCTCCTGAATGGATTTACCTATTAAGAACAATGACTGTGGCAAACAGCTTTCTAGTGAGTCATGCTGTTTTACCTACAGATGCTATTGTTCTGCTGATCTGCATCTACATTTTTGTGGATTTTGTGATTGATGGAGGAAATTTGTCTTCAGATGCAGGGGCTTTTAGATGCCAGAAGTCTGCCCCAGCTAACCTTTTGTTTTCCAGTCATTTTATCTTATTAGAATTATTGCATGTTGGCTTTCTAGTGAGTCAGACGAACTTTCTGGATCCTCTGGCAAAAAGATCAAGCATAGAAAAACCAATGGCAATACTACACCTAAGGTCAAGCCAGGGTCTTTCACATTAGCCAAACTCATCCTTGGTTCACTCCTGACACAGCATGGAGGCTAACAGCTAAAACCTCATATCAGGAGCTCCAAAGCGCAGGTGAAGGCACAATTCTAACATCACACAGAATGAACCTCCTGATCAGATTGCATCTGTAGGGATGTCCTTGTTGCAGACATTGTGCAGTTTGAAGTGACAAGATGCAATAAATTTGACTCCTTTTGGAAATGAAGCATTGTCCAGACCCATGAAAATGTTATTCAAATTTTACTAGCAGAACTGTGCAAAATAAAACAGAAGCATCAAAGATGCAACCAAAAATATCCAAAAATATCCATAGGCACAGGCTCAGCATCTTACAAAATATGAAATAATTTAAACAGACCTATAAGCAAAGGTCTCTCTTTCTCCTCTCCACCGCCTGCATTGGCTCCCTTCAGGAGAGCTTCATTTACATCTTCCCTTCCATGGAGTTTGGGAGAAAAGGACTCAAAGGCAACTCCCTTCAAAATAGAGATTCGCAACTCAATACCTTCATCACATGATCAAAGGTTCAGTCACATGTTAGCTACCAGAGAACAACCATCAGTTAATAATTAACTCAGCAAGAGCTCAGAGTACTCTATTTGTCTTTAATATAGCCCCATTTGGGGGGGGGGCACACCAAGTTAAACCTTTTCACCAACACACATTTAGCTATTTTTCATTTTAGAACTTCATTAATATACAGGTGTTTTCATTTCAGTGTCAATTAAGTCAATTATACTTAACAGTTCTCACCTGTAGAGTGCAGTGATCAGTTGGGTATGGAAGGGATAAGGCAATATTTTAGGTACCCTGGTACTGAGCTGTATAAGGCTTTATATAGCAGTACCAACACCCTGAACTTAGCCCAGTGTAGATGTTTGGAGCACATGAGTAGCCAGGATCACATGGATACCTCCTGAGCAAGCATGGGCAGCCAGCCCTAAGAGACAGTGGCCTGAGTAAGTACCCACAAGTCAAACTGCTTATGAGATCCTGATAACTATCAGTTACTAATGGAATGTGTGAGCCAGCCCTGTGGAGCTACTTTGCAGTAGCAACGGTACCACAATCCTAATGGGGCCTGCCCTGAATGGATTAGCTGGGGTAATTAAAATGGGCAACACCATGCTACAACTTCCTTCTGAACAAGCAGCTTCTGCTTGGAATTGTGCCCAGGTGGTGCTGATTTATGGCAGCTACCATAACACTAGTGAACAAGGCCAAACAGGCTCCTCAGAATGATTAATGTGAACTGTCTGGTTGAGGAAAGAACATCCATATGACTTCGTATTTCCCCAAATGATCACTGGTCACAGTGAAGTTTTAAAGGGAACATTTTCAGTTAACCAGCTTGGGGGAGAGGTCTTACACCCAGGGGTAGGCAACCTAAGGCCCGGGGGCCGGATGCGGCCCAATTGCCTGCTAAATATGGCCCACGGACGGTCTGGGAATCAGTCTGGGAATGAGTAGAATGTGGCCTTTTATTTAAAATGCATCTCTGGGTTATTTGTGGGGCATAGGAATTTGTTCATTTTTTTCCTTTCAAAATATAGTCCAGCCCACCACATGGTCTGAGGGACAGTGGACCGGCCCACGGCTGAAAAAGTTTGCTGACCCCTGTCTTACACAATCATTAAAAGCCCACCCACCCCAATCCAGCAGGACTGTATTGCCACATATTTTGAAGAAAATGAAGCAATACCACCTAAAGAAGGGGAGTGTAAGGCAGGAGACCCCAAAGGCAGCAGGGTTAGATTACAACTTTGAGTCTAAAATTACCCAGCTGCATCCCTGTTTTGGAGCTCCAGGAAAAAAGGGCACTGTGAATAGATGGTAGGAAGCAGGGAGGCAGCTGTTAGTTTCCAGAAGTTGCTGCCTCATGGGACAAGAGCCTCTCAGTGAATAAGGTATGGGGACTTGGCAATTCAGGGTTGAACACAGTTGGTATGGAGGAAGAGAATTCTTAAGGAGAAGAGGGAAATTCTCAGTCATAATAATATGATACAAGAAGTGGTTTTTAACTCTCAAGGCACACACCAGCAAATAAGGCATGGTTAGAGTGAACTGCCTCCAGTGCCGAGATTATTCCAAGATGGCTTATTTTGTGGTTTCTTCCATCCTTATATTTGCTGACCCTTTGCGGCCGGGATTTAGTTTGTTCTTTTGTAATGTTCTGTCTCATCTCTGAACATCTTAACTAGATGCTGGGAATTTGAATGCAGAATGTAATTGTGTAATATTGTTTGATGTAGAAAAGATCAGTTTGTTTCCCTGGAAACAAATGCCTTCTCATTTGTAATGCACCACCACCTGAGCGCCAGCATTCTAACTAATGGGAGCTCCCACTCTCTGTTGCTAATTGCAACTGTGGGAGATGGTCCAGGATTGCAGAGGGCGTGCTGTAATCCCAGTTGCAAACACAATCCCACGTTTATGTTGTTTTAAAATTTTATTTTTAAGACATGTATTTATGGGCACCTAATATTTAAGTCTTAAGCTGTTACCTGGGGTTAATAACAAGACTAGGGTTGAGCAAACAGTGCTTGGTTCTGGTTGTGCATTCAAGTTGCAAGCATTTGGTGGATCAGGACTATCTCTGTATAATAGCAGAGATGGGGAACCATTTTCAACCTGAGGGTCACAGCACCATATGCCATTGGTGGATTAGACCAGAGGCAAATGTGAACAGAGCGACAAATGTGAATTTTACCTTTGCACAGTAGGCTTGTTCCTACTCGCATGCTACTCTCTATCCTCCATCCATGCAAGTGAGAAGCATTATTGGAGTTGAGGGGCACATTCCAGCCAGGCAAGAACCCTCATGGAGGTTGTAAAACAGGGCCAGTGAGGGTGTGTGGCCTGGATATAGTTCTTTGGGCTAGACAGAGAGGCCTGGAGAGCCACATACTATCGAGTGGCCCAGTTAGACCCCTGAAATTGTGTGTATCAGGTTGCTGAGAGAAGTATATTGTGGGGTGTGCTGAATGAGCTCATAACAGTGCCTCCCGAAATCAAATATACTCATTCATGTCTCTAAGGCAGGGTGAGGAACCTGTGGCCCTCCAGATGTTTGCCTGTGCCTGGAGTAGAACCTATGTTGTCAGTTGCGCGTGGGCTCTAGTCCACAAATTTCTGGCCACAACAGAGCAGTTAGCCCCTAAGTTCCACAGACCTTTGTTATTCTTAAAAAGATGGAGACAAATCAGCTTTTGCACAACCTCACCAGAATTCCTTTTCATTTGACAAGGAGACTGCTTGGTACCAAAGCAGCTACTGGAATTTGAAGACTTCCCCTCCTACCTCTTGCACTGCACTCCTGAAGTCTTTGAGGCACACCGTGAAATGGAGGCAGCCCTCAGGTTTTAAATGTCAGTGCTGTCTTTACAGCAGCTCTAGATGATGGATTTGTCTCCCTGGCAGTGGGAAGGGCCTTGGCACTGCCAGGGCCTGATGAGTATTGTGGAGCATTGGCGTTTACACAGCCGTTTGCTGACTCATGGACAGAAATTGACAGAGAGCAGCTGCCAGAAACTTGTTTTCCAGACCAATTTTCTTGTTACTTAGAAAATGTTACCTTTTAAGGATGAGTAATAGGGAGAGAGTATGTGTTTGTGTGTCTGACAAGCAAGGGAGAAAGAGCAAGAAGGAAAGTGATAAAAATGTAATCCAAAACAACCTGATTGAATTTCAAGTTAGATAGCTCTAAGTATCCAGAGGCAAGTGTGTCCCTATGTAATCTTCATACGCATGTTCCATATTAACATAAATGGGTCTATGTCACTTGAAATAGTGTTTTCATTTGCCAAGGAATCTGGTGGTAGGGGTGGCTTGTGAGTGAAGCATAAGTGTTTGTATGTGGGCTGTGTACACACATAGCCTTTGAAATGCACTGAGGGTTATTCACAACACGCCTTTGTGCATAATGGTTTGCAGTTGTACACACCTTTATGAAATCCAAAGTAGTAGCTCCTATCTGCGTGGTTTATACACACAGGTGGGCATGTTTTCAAAGTAGCATGCAAGCTAAAGGTAAAGGTAAAGGGACCCCTGATTGTTAAGTCCAGTTGCGGACGACTCTGGGGTTGCAGCACTCATCTCGCTTTATTGGCCAAGGGAGCCAGCGTATAGCTTCCGGGTCATGTGGCCAGCATGACTAAGCCGCTTCTGGCGAACCAGAGCAGCACACGGAAACGCTGTTTACCTTCCCACCGGAGCGGTACCTATTTATCTACTTGCACTTTGATGTGCTTTCGAACTGCTAGGTTGGCAGGAGCAGGGCCCGAGCAACGGGAGCTCACTCTGTTGCGGGGATTCGAACCGCTGACTTCTGATCGGCAAGCCCTAGGCTCAGTGGTTTAGAGCACAGTGCCACCTGCATCCCTGTAGCATGCAAGGGTGTCCTTTATTACGCTTTCCCTCAGTTACTGTTTGTACATACCATTTTTTAAGGTAATAATTTTTCAGTTTTTCCAAATAGAGGGGCTGGATACTGGTGTGTTGATATATTGATTTGAAGAGGGGCAGGTAAGTTACCACACTCTCTGTGGACAAATTTGTGCAGCAAGTGCTTGAGAAGTGTTTCAGCAGAGTATTCCTTAGATTGACAAATAGTGTGGGGCAAGGATGACATGGGGATTATACTATGTTTATGGCACCCCCCAAACGTTGCCTGCAACCACCCCTGAATGTCCATTATCACACAGTGTGTGCATGCCATTAAGTTACCAGCAGTGTAGTTTAATTCGTGCTCAGGTCAATAGGGCTTTGGTATTATTAAATTTACCTACATAAATGCATTCAGTTGTCCAAGTTATGAAACATTTATTTTTTCATCATCGCCCAGTGAAAGAACCTCTCCCAGCTGCATTCTTTCCTTGCTTATTTATTCTGATAGCCTGGCCAACGTCAACAGGCCTTTCCAAGTGAAGGCTCTTTGCTCTGGGGGTTAAACCTTTTTCTTTTTAATACTTTGCTGGTGCCAGCACAGGTGTCTACATAAATAGTTCTGGCGGAGGAGCCGGTTGTTGACTACTGCAGTCTTTATACTACTGAACCCCACGCCCCATTACATGTGATGAAAAGAAGCAACGAGAAACGATGTTGGGCTGTGCCTCTTGGTGATTTACTGTATTGCATGGGATTGTACCTTTCAGAACTAACTTCAAACGAATTGTATTATTTGTCCAGTTAGCAATAACCGGGTAGGATACTAGAAAGACATAGAGCTTCAATTTGAACAACAACACTGCAGCACTCTCAACCAAATTAAAAACAACAACAACAACCCTAAGGCTGAGTGCCACACCTTTGGCTCAGAAACTGCCTTAGCTATGATGGTGAATGCAAGTCATAAGGTTTGAAACCAGCAGACTTTTTTTTTGTTAATGCTTGTCTGTCCATAACATAAGGGAAAGTAGAACACAATGTGAACCATTTTAAAAATGAAAACTGGAGGCTTCAACACTCTTGGCCAAAACAGTTAGTTAATTATTTATTTTAGAAATTTCTCCTTTGGGAGAGATCTTCAGCTTTTCTCTGTGGACACTCAGCAAACACCATCTAGACGATCAGTTTTCACTCATGGTTGAATGTAGCCATGTTTTCACACTGCACAAAGCGCTAAAGGATTGTTCAGTTGTGTGTGTGTTGTAACTGGAGAGAAATTGGGAGGGTGGCCATTTTAATAGCAGTTTGGTGTGCTCCAGTAGTTCAATAAGGTTCATATTGTGAGAGATTTGCAGTCAAACCTAACAATGCTAGGCTGTATGTGACTACAGAGGACTACAGAGTTCTAAATTTCTAGAGTAGGCTCAGGAATGTCACATCCCCTCTTCTCCTGAGAGGAAGTAAGTAAGGCTTGTATCCTGTTTCTGTTCTCTCTCACACACATTGCATGTGATGGAGGCAGCCATGCCTCAACATATCTCTCTGCCTCAGGAATATATCTGAGGCTGCCTTCAGTGTATTTTTCAACTAAGAACATTTACCTGCCTATTATCACTGCTCCTAAGGACAATGCATAACTGTAAGTAAAGTATATTTAAAACTTACTTCATTATGTGGTCTGCTTCTCTGCAAGAGGGATAAAGGGGGTCAGCTATACCTCAAGCAGCTGGAAAGTATTAAAATAAGTTTTAAAAGCCTATTCCTATGCTTCACTAATAATTGGATTTAAATTCTGCTACTGTGGCTCTTTATGTGCAAGCCCTGTGTTTTTAGAAACAAGCACCAACTGTTTTTCTTTTGTTTCCCTATCCCACACATGTGGATCTGTAGAGTATTACGGTAAATATAATTAATATATCCTGCCAGTAAATAATACCCATTAAAACATGTTGCATATGTCATGCAATGATGGGTGATATTTATTTGGTATGTCTTTCTGCCCACAACTCTTACCAAGTAGCAGATTAATCCCTAAAGTTTTCAGATTTGTAAAGTTCCTGAATAGAATGGACATGAACTTGAAACTTTTTTTCTTCAGTGTGATATATCTGAGATGGATGTAGTTTCAACAAACTGTAAGCAGGTTGGTTTTCTTCCCTGAAACAAATCCTCAGTGAAGCAATCAGTTAATCCAGGTAAGGCGTGTAGATGAACTAACAGATTAGTTTGAATGATTGGCATGGTTCATTAGCCTAACCCTTGAGTTGCTCTACTGTACTGTTCTCGTGTGCTTTCATTTCCATTACATTTAACTTAACAGATTACAGAGCTTGGATGATTGGCTCTAGCAGAAAAATCCAATTGCTATTTAATTTTGATGGCCCTACACTGAGTAGAACTTCGTTGGATACTACCCTTTATGTCCACCATGTTTCAAGTGAAGGTGAGGCAGAGCTGTAGGTCTTTTCCAATTTAAGACCAGCACTGTGGGAAGATCATCTTTTTTGACTTCACAAGTAATTATCCAGGAGTGAAACTTAGGTATAATGTGCAAGTCACTACTGCTTCTGCACAAATACCAATACTCACATTTACAAGGCTGGGAAGACAAGCCTTTGTTCATGTAAGCTAAAGAGTAATGCTCTTTTCAAACAGGACCAAAACTTATAAAAACTGAACTTTAAGCAGTGGGCAGTACTCCAGCAAGCACTAGAACGCAGAGCGAGTCAGACAGCTTTCTTACTTAGACCATTACAGCTTGCCTCTAGCTATTTTGTGGGTAAGTGAAGCGTCTATGAAGAGTCTTCTTTAATCTAGATGGGTTGTCGCATAAAAGAGAATTCAGCATAGCGCACATGGCTCAGTTCACAACAATGCAGTTGTAATTGTAACCAATTTAGTTCCCTTCGACCTAGTGGCCTATATCAAAAGCTCTGCTTATCTAGGTTATGAATTGCAGTGTTAAGACTGGAAGAAGCCATTGTGCAGTTTGTAGCTAGAAGCAGTGATAAGGAGACCAAATGGCTAGAAGCAAAGCAGAAACCATCACTATGATTTCCAACAGTAGTAATAACACTTTCCGTTTGAGTGAATTCTGCCAAGAGTATTTACCTGAACAAAAATTACAGTCCTTCCTAACAAATGACAATTTCATTTCCACAATTGATGATCTTAGTACATGGATATCTGTGATCCCTTTCTCCAAACCTGAGCTCAGCTTTGGGGTGGGGAAAAACCTTTTGCAACTGGCCCATCTCTGATGGGGCATGACCCCACGAGACATGTCCAGATGTTTAGTCTGCCAGGCAGGGCCTGCCCTAAAATGAATACTGCCCACACCTCCATGGCCAGCTCTTCAGGGCCACTCAGAGTGTTTATGGGGCCTGGTGGAGATGTGATGTTGAGAACCCCCTACAAGGACCTATGCAGGTGTGTACAAAGCTAGGGATCACATGTTAGAATTATTGCATGCACAGGTTATATGTGAGAATTCTTGCTCTGAAATTAAGCAGAATGATAGGTGTGCTTCATTTTTTTTTCTTACATGAGGGATCAGGTTGTGCTTCTCCTGAGCGCCTCCTTCAGTATGTAGTTCCAATGCCCTTTGGGCAGACCTCAGTCTCACAGGTCTTCTGGTTGTGGCCTGCTGCTGGCCTTCTCCACTACAGTGGTGCCTCGCAAGACGAATGCCTCGCAAGACGGAAAACCCGCTAGACGAAAGGGTTTTCCGTTCTTGAGTTGCTTCGCAGGATGAATTTCCCTATGGGCTTGCTTCACAAGACGAAAATGTCTTGCAAGTCTTGAGATTTTTTTTTCCGCTTTCCCCCCCTTTTTCTAAGCCGCTAAGCCGCTAATAGCCTTTTAGCAGCTAAGCCGCTAAGCCTTTAATAGCCGCTAAACCGCTAATAGCGCTAAGCCGCTAATAGGGTTGCTTCGCAAGACGAAAAAACCGCTAGACGAAGACACTCGCGGAACGGATTAATTTCGTCTTGCGAGGCACCACTGTACTCACTCAGTAAGGCCTCATGGATTTGTAGGCCTATATTCTTTATTATGTTCAGCTCACACACAAAATGGCTCCTGCTACATTCTGTCCTCAGCTCTGTCCTCAGCTACATGAAGTAGGCTCTCCATCGAAGTGATATAATTGGTCTTTAAGGGACATGCTACAGTCTCCCAGACTGTAGCTGCTTCTTCGGCCTTCTTCCCTTGCTGCTTTTTAAAGAAAACTGAAAGTTGTGTTGCCCCAAAATATAGAGCGGCAGTAACCGCATGACCAAGTCAAGCAATTGCCTTGAACTCCAGTCAGTTTTGTAGCATTATTTAGGCTGATATCACCATACTGTTAACTGCAGCGAGGCATATAGTATAAGTGGGGCATTTGTGTGAATACCTGTAGGAGTTCTCAATGAGAACTGTCTAAATGATCCAATTTCCATTAATGTAGAAGATGAGAACTCTGCCTCTCATGAGACTCCTGCTGAAACAGTAAAAGAGAAGGAACCCCTACTATATGTACCTATCAACAATATTTCTCATTCTACATACATATTTCTCATTCTGTGGTTTCCAGTGGGCCAAATGAAATTGAGGATATGGCTTTTCCTCGAAAACAAATGTCATTTTTCAAAAGCTTATTGCTGAAAGGGCTTTAGATAAGCTGAAAAGGTGCTGGCTTGTCTATTCTAAGAGTGCCAGCAAGGATTTTTGCTGCTTCTGCAAAACATTTCCAGGTGGTGCCACTGCCACTGCCAGTTCTTCGCTTGGGAGTATCAGGACCAATGACTGGAAACACTCTGAAACAGCACAAAAAGTCATCCAAGCATTTCACTTCATTCTGCAACTGGATAGAAACTGAATCTTGGTCGAGGCTGAACCAGTGCATTGATGCAGAACATCAGCCGATGATAAACCAAGAAATTCAGCATTGGAAGGGTGTGCTCAAATGCCTAATGGATATTCCACGGTCCCTGATGGTGCACGATTTGGCATTCCAGAGATTTTCGGAGAAGCTGTTCAGAGGCAACGGAATATTTCTGTTGTACAGTTGCTTGGCAAGTAAAATGAAGAAATGGAGAACATTTGTGGTGTGTATTTTCAAAGGAGCGTAATGGTCACTGCTGTGGGAACACTATTCAGAATGAACCAGTAGCCCCAAGGAAATGTTAGAGAACATACAGAACAGATTATTCTTCACACTGGATTGCATATCTTAATGTAAATTGCTCTGAAAAAATGTCATTCACAAGTGAGATTTGCTGAAGATGGGGAAGATGGGTAAATGAACAGTTTGTAGTACTGTTTATTCTTATGAATCGGGGTGGGGTGGGGTGCAGGACACCCTAAATTCTGGATTAAGCTGCTGTTAGAAATTAATTAAGGTTTGGAGAATTAAAACCAGAAAATAGTCAGACTCATGTGTATTTAGGATAGACCCATGTGTATCTGAGCTGTGCTAGGCTTTGCTAATCCTTTAATTAAGCCAAGTGTCGAAAGCCAATTAAATCAGGACTAGCCTCCTGCATGAGGTGGGTTGTTAGCACAACAACCGATCAACGCGAGTGGGGCCTACAAAAAACCAGGGGTTAAGAACAGAGAGAAGTAATGCAGGCAGAATTTTAGTGAAAAGGGTTAGAAGTTAAGCAACAAAGTTAGGAAGCAGCAGGCTGGAGAGAGGAGGAGAGAGCAACATTTGAGAGCAAGGCTGCTGTGGTTTACTGGAGAAACCAGAACCTCTTGGTGTATGAATGCTGTGAAACCCCTCCACAGTAGTAGGCTCAGGTTGTCTATATGTGTAAATAAACCATAAAGACACTACAGTCTCTGCTTTGCCTTGTTTCCCCAAGGAAACACAGACTCTGGTTGGTAAAATGTGCCTGGAACTCTTGGAATCTTGCACTACTGTGGAGATTGGTGTGGTGTGTAACAGTATTCCAGACAGTTCTTGCCAACAATTAATCGGAGAAAGACTTACAGAACTATTGCTGAAAAACAGAGGGAAAACAACATTAACATTAAAGACTTCCATGTTGTGATAATGGTGCCAACATGACAGGACAAGGGAAAAAAGGTGTCCAGGCAAGACTACTTACACTGAACGGACAAGCTACATTTGTACCCCGTGGCATGGGTGTCCAGCATGGGTTCACATCTCAGCCTTAGTTTGATTGCTTGTATCAAGTGGTCTGGGATGCATGGCATGGTTTGAAGCCAGCTCCTTTCAGGCATAGAATCACAGAAGTGTAGAATTGGAAGGGACCCAAATGGTGGCTCAGTGGCTCCCTGCCTGATGTCCTGTTGGTTTGCTAAGGAGAGAATGAATGCTTGAGGGAAAGCATATCCATTTGCTTTCAGGCTGAGGTGGAATTTGTTTCAATCCATTCTGCCTTTCCTGGGCTTAGAATCATTTGGCTGAAGAATGGTTTCTTGAGGCAGGTTTTGCTGGCTGCTCCAGTGCCTCAAGGGTGGAGCAGAGGGTGAACTGGGCTGAAATCCTTAGGCACAGTTAATGTGCCAGCAGTGAAGGCCCAGGGGTGTAGCAAGCTAACTATTTGGGGACCTCAAACCAAGGTAGCTTGCTAAAAAAATCTGAGGAGTTGGTTTAATTTTAAAAGCACTCAGATTTTAGGAATCTGCACTGGTAAGTAGTAATTAAGCTACTCCTCCCCCATAAATCCTTCATTATATTTGATTTAAAATGTTGCCCATTTTAAATGCAAACTGCTGTGTCCATCTCATCATTTTTGTGGGTTTGGGCGCAAGCTTCTCTGACTATTTTGCAATGTGGGAAGCCATAGGCAATGGTAGCTGCTCAGTGAAATGTAAGCACAGTGAAATAGATATGTGCGCATTCCTCACATATTACTTGCAGCTTAGAAATGATATCCCCGTGGGAAATTTTTTTGCATATGAAACAGCCTTTGGAGAAAATCTTCATCATTGTAGGCTTGTATATACCATTTGTATACTAGGTTGGTTCATGAAACCGCTATAATGTATCAGGCTGCAATCCTAAACACAATGATTTAGAAGTCCCATTAGACCCTGTGGGATTTACATCTGCGTATGCATGTTTAGGATTGCTCTGTTAATTTGTTTAATTTGAAAAAACACACACAACCAGGCTGCATTAATACCATACATGGTGATCAAGACTTGCTGATTGTGTGAATCCTTAGCAATTAAGCCTATTCATTTAGTATGGAAAGTTTGCTGTTGAATAAAGACAGAACTTCAGATTGTTTGACTGATTTGTAAATGGAGGTTTGCAACTTTCCCTAACAGGAAAGGGGGGCGGGGTAATTCAGAAACAATATCATTGCACACCATCCCAATCTCTGAGCGATGTGAGATTCCAGGCACTTACTCATAGTTTGTGTTTCCTTTGGAAATGGGGAACAACAGAGACTGTGGCGTGTTTAAGGTATTTGGTTTATTTACACATACGTATATACAACCTGAGCCTGTGATGGAGTTCACAGCGTTAATACCCCATAAGGTCTTGCTTCTCCAAAGCCACAGCCTTGGATTCCAGCAGAAATCAGGCATGGCTTTCAATCTCTGGTTTCTCACTATTTCTAGCCCAGCTCACACATGCAACTCTGACTTTTGTCCTTCTAATGAACAGGTAGTTGCCGGAGCCCCCCACCAAATTTGCCCTTTGGCCTAGAGCCACTTCCTTTGTTAAATTAAAGACCCATACTTAGGGGGCCATTACCAAGAAGCTTGCCTGGCTATTCCAGTAATTGAATCCTTGCTGGATCCAGAAATTAGAAAGGGACTCATGCATACAGCCTAACACCCTTCCTTCAAACTCGCAACAATATGTACAGGGTGAAACTAAACAGCCCATATGGATGAGCAGGAGACCGTTCTAGTGGGAAACAGCCTTTCTTACAAGTGACTCAGAAACTGAGATCTGTTATTGTCATTACTAAATAGAAATTCTAGAAATCAGAGGTGGAACTATTACTTAGATCTCCATCTTTTCCTGCCATAACTGTTCCTGCTTGTTGTTTCCTCATGTGTTTTGTTCATTTTAGGGTTTTATGGGGAATCAAGGGGATTTCCTTCAGAAAGTCACCACTTTCTGCTTTGGGAGCAGGCAGAAAGGCATAGCTGGAGCAGGAGATGATGCCCTCCAAGGAAGCAAGTCACTGTATGGGTTCTTTTCAGCAATGTCCATGTTGCCCAGCCACCATGAGTGAGTGGCAGAAACCTGGGAGAAAACCACATGTTACAGGCAATGTGTGCCATGAATCCCAGAGACTATTTTTTAAATGAAAAGTAGCTTTGTGATTTTGAACAGAGAAGCAGTAGGGGAAGGAGATTTTTAACCACTTCCTAAGTAGCTTTTTCCTCCCTGCTGCCCCGCTCCACTTTCCACATGGGGTTCAGGATGTGCTTTTACCTTTGTGTAAGTAGCAGTCACCTAATGGCAGAAATGGAAGCACCTTGCTGAGTAATTTATGCTAACAGTATTTCAATGAGCACTGTGATACTGAGAGCATATGCACAAAGGTGCCATATCAATGGGGGGAAGCGGCTGCATTTGCAGGGTAGTACATATGGATGCACTGAAAGCTTTCTGGCATGAACTCATGCAAATTGGGCTGCTCCATAAAAGAACCATAGAGAAGAATGGCACCATTCTTCATCTTGCATTAGGTGAAACTGCAGGTCTTTGTCCGTCTCTCCATTGCATGCAATGAGCCTAGAATAGAGCCCATCAACTGAATTACTACTTTCCATTTCCTACCATACAGGCTAGTGGTGCGGGGCGCTGGGGCGCCAAGTTCTGGAGGGCGCCAGGGAAGAGGCAAAGGCTGGGCGTGGCGCCTCCCAGCATCAGCTCGCTGCCCTTGCCTGCCTCCGCCATGCTGCGCCAAAGCAGTGCCACGCCCGGAGCCTCCATCTGCCGTGGCCACCGTGGCACGAGGCGGCCAGCTGAGCCGGGAGGTGCTGTGTCCAGCCTCTGCCTCTTCCCTGCCAGAGGAGCCACCCTCCAGCCACTGACCTCCTTTTCCAGCCCTGCCGGCAGCGCCGTCCTCCCTAAAAAAACTCTGGGAAATGGGGGTGGGGGTTGCCGGAGGGAGCTTTGCACCACGGTGCCGGATATGCTTGAGACGGCCCTGCTCATACCAGTTCATTTCTGAACTGGCAGTGCAATCTTGGAACAGATGAGTGCTCTGTCCCTTCACATGGGAATGATATTCTTCACATGCTCAGGTACACTTTGCCCATAAGTGATTTTTTTTTTTTTTAAAGATTTCTTTCTCCTCAGGAAAGAAAGAAACTCTGCAGGTATTTAGAGGCATCCAGTGCTAGGGGCTGGAATCTCTGTAAACAATAACTGCTCACTGAAGACAGAACAAGACTGGGTTCATTGTGTTTATGAATCAGAGAATTGTAGAGTTGGAAGGGATCCCGAGGGTCATCTAGTCCAACCCCCTGCAATGCAGGAACCTTGACATTCAATTTGAAACCATATCAGACCCTGCTTATGATTTGCAAATGTGCTAGCAGTTTTATTATGGCACCGTGTTTGCTGAAGGGTAGAGGGTGGCTATACATTAAGAGAGACTAGATTCTGGAATCTTCAGGAAGAAAGTCGTTTTTGAAATTAGCACAATTCTCTCTATTTTTTGCTATTGTTCTAATTAATTTCTGCTTTGAGTAGTTGAAAATTAGTGTTTTTACCAGTCCAGTGTCAAAGCTAGATGTTTTACCAATTGAGTAACCCACAATCCTTCAGATTTGAAATCTCTGAATAAAAGAAAATACCGGCATGAACATTGTCCCTTGAGGCACATTTCTTTTCTAACAACCGATTCATAGATTCTTTAGGCAGGTCAAAGCTATGGAATTACCAACTCATTTTTCATTAGGACCATACTACATGTCAGTGAAAGAACATGTCTGTGATTGTCTCTGGTTTCCATGATCCGTGTCTTGCTCTATTAGAAATAATGTGTAAATGGAGTCAACCAAATCGAAACAAATTATGATTGACTCCCCAAGGTACAAGGAATCAAATTATTGTAACCATTCATCCATGTGCAAGCAGTACACCGCTCAAAGTGTTTGCCATTTCATAACTTTCAGCATAAGTACAATGGTACCGGCTACTTCCAAGGTCATGCTGTTTGATTTTGGAGGGATGGTTGTTGTTATGAAGGCTAGCACTGTCTGTTCAAGCACTTTCCTGCTCCCTTATGCTCAGCGTGTATATCTGTAATAAACATATATCACAAAATGCCAAAAGGCTCCAGTGATTCCTCTTTATAAGGAAGCTGACTCTAGGAACATAGGAAACTGCCTTACACCGATTCAGAACCCATTAGTCAATCTAGTTCAGTACTGTTGACACTGACTGGCGGCCACTTTCCAGGGTTTCTAAGCCTGAACTGAACACTGGAAAAACGAGTAACCAATAGAAATGGAAATTAATAGATTTGCTCATCTATAGCCACAGGAAGAAACTGCAGGGAGACCCACCACACCAGTTCCGATCTTGTTCCGATAGGCCTGAGCAGTCAGGTGATATTCCCTGACTCCTATAATAGCTTTGAGGTCATACAGTGGTACCTCGGGTTAC